TACGGCATTAATTCATACACAGCTGAATCAATGAGCTCAAGTTTTCAATAAAATTACGGATTATAATATTAAATATATAGTAGTAGTAAGCATTTTCATTAGAAAATAAATCTGGTAGCATCTTTAGGCAAGGCAAGGCAAGTTTATTTATAAAGCACAATTCATACACAAGGCAATTCAAAGTTCTGAACAAAATAAGAACGCATTAAAATCATAAATAATCACAGAACATTAAAAAGAAAGATAAAAATATAAAATCCCTCAGTTGTATGCACAGCTAAACAGAACTGTCTTTAACCTGGTTTTAAACATTGTCAGAGAGGAGGCCTGTCTCACATCTTCAGGAAGACTGTTCCAGATTTTAGCAGCATGAATCTGAAAAGCAGCCTCCCCATGTTTAGTTCTGACTCTGGGCACTAACAGGAGTCCAGTCCCTGTGCTCCTCAGAGTCCGGGCTGGTTCATATGGGACTAACATGTCGCTAATATATTTTGGTGCGAGGCCATGGAGAGACTTGTAACAAGCAGAGCTGTTTTAAAGTCTCTTCTCTGAGCCACAGGAAGCCAGTGCAGAGACCTGAGAACTGGACTAATGTGGTCGTACTTCCTGGTTCAGGACTCGAGCTGCTCCATAAATGCATTTGCTTTCAGCCTATTGTCAACAGTGTTCCCTTAATGTCACTTCATTTAAATTGAGTCTTGTATGTTTGGGTAAGCATTAGTTTTCTGTGACTAAATCATCTTGAGTCGTTCAAATTCCCTTCTGGTTTTCTCTGCCCACAGTTCCGAGTCTCATCTCCAGACCCAGTTTGTCTTCACGCTTCTTGGGTAGAGGACAGCACAGGTACGGGCCCCACAATCACAAACACATGATTAAAGAGGATCAAAGTGCACATTTCTAAGGCTGCAGTCGATCAAAGAAATGCTTGGTCAACTAAAGATGGTGACAAAAGCTCTCAAAACTATTATTTATGTGACCCAATCAATTACTCAAGCTTTATTTATAGAGCCCTTTTACGACACAGGATGTGACCTCAATGCTTTACAAGGGCCACCACATCACAGGGTGTTAAAAATCTGACGTCTTAATAATCTAGATTTAAAAAGGCCAACGTACTTACAGTATTTCCTTTTTTAATAGACGTTGGCCTATTCAAACGCTTTAAAATTATGTATCATGTGCCTTAAAAACCTATATTGTTTTGCTCAAGGATGGATTTACAGAACAAAATCCTTCTTATCCTTTAAAGGAGTGCTCTAAACAAGGTTCTCCGCTCTGCAAAAAGGACTTTGAGCTGTTCTGGAGGTTCTAGATGAATCCAGACTCTTAAACCAAGCTCTTAGAATAATCAATGACTCTTCTGGCCACCCTGGAAAAGCCATGCTCCAGCTTCTTCCCTCTGGCAGAAGATATCTTTTGTTGCAGGACATCTCGATCATTCTTTCCACAAACTGTTATCAATTTAAACAGAGCCCTTTAAATGATGTTACACTTGTATTGAAACTGTTTTAGTCGATCGATTTCACAGTGTCCATTATGTCTGTTTTATTCCTGCACTTTAAATCTTGTTTTATTTATGTACTTGTCTTGTGCACACTGGGGACTTTGGCGAAGGTAGTGTTTGAAGAATTCAGGTTTGCTTGCATAGTAACTTCCATTCTAATCAGATAATTCTAAAGGCTTTGTTACATCGCTAAAATGGCAAATGTTTAAATTATGGATGTATTTACAGATATGCCCCTGACAGCCTCAAACTGCCTGTGTCCAAAGTGCGCCCCCTAATGGAGGACAGACGTCTTGACAACACAAGCAGCACCAGTGTGAAGTGAGACATGACTTATTCACAATTAAAATACCTCTGCCTGTTTTTCTTTACAACCTGATTATTAGCACCGTGAAACCCAAACATTTAAATATGAAGTATTAACTGACTAACGGGCTATGTGGCGACTACAATCTGTAATGTTCCATCACAATAATACAGACCCAATGCTTACTTTTAAAGATCGGAAGTGCGCACCCCGGAAATGTATCGGTAACATTAGCCTGACCGCACATTAGTTGTTGTGTGCTAGTTATGAGTGTGTAATAAACACAAAGAATGAAAGGGGCATCTTCTAATAGTTAGCCAGGCACAACACACCCAGGTACACTCAAAAAACATCAGAGAAGTTTAGATTCAACAAAACAAAAGCTTAAAAAGATCTATACCACATTAGCTGTTTATGAAAAGTCAACGGGGGTAAAAGCTTTAACTTTCCTTGCATCCTATATCCTTCCAATGGTGTGCAGTTCTGCAAACAGCCAGCAGATGGAGATCATTTCTATTGTTTTAGTGCATGAACATCTCTGTCGGTTTAAAGTTTGTGATTCTTGAGGTTTCAAACATGTTTCCTTCTCAGCCCTCTCACCGGGATTTACACACTTCTACAAGTCCCCAGGCAGGTTTACCACAGATTTTCAATTTTACATACAGCTTGGGTAGCACTCATGCCTCACAGCAAGAAGGCCGCCCAGGTTTTTCTGTGTGAAAATTGCACACTGAAAACCCTACAGTAACTTCAATCGTACTTAAGATATGAAAGTTATTTTAAATAGATTTTTCCCAGGAAGTAAATATTACTCATTTATTGATAGTTTATTTAAAGCGTGGCAATATCACTCAGGGTCTTCTTTGAATTGAACTGTTTCTGTTCAAGTAAGTGTCACTTTTGACATTTTGAACATGTAGACTCTTGAATAAGGCAGGTGTGTGACAGTGTGGCCCGGTGGCTAAGTGGGAAGCACCTTCACCTCACAACTACAGGGTTCTAAGTACGAGTCCCGGTTGAAGCATAAGTTGAATCTACAGCTAAAATGTATTGCAATCACTTGAGTTACTTGGTAATATCAAGTAAAGGATGTAATCGAGGAATTCAAGTGAAATTGAATTAGTCAGGGTTTACAGTGCATGTTTGTTCCTCCCTGTGTCCGTGTGGGTTTCCTCTGGACGCTACGGTTTTCCCCCCCACCCAAACCATGAACCAGTATGAATGTGTTGAGTGAGTGAACGGAGGAGGGGCCGGTGGCACAGACTGGCCCCCAGCTGTCGTCACCACAGAACACACTGAATGAATAGTGACTTCAGTGTCGCGCTTTGAGAGACTGTAACGACGTTATTCATTATTTTCATTATGAGTGATCCATGATTTATGTTCTTTAATATCAGACGTCTCTTCAGGACTGAGCGAGGAGGAGCGCAGAGGAGGAGGTCAGCAGGACTCTTGTGGAGGCGATCTTCAAACAAAACTCCTCTGGACACAACAGCCTCTCTACACAAGTCTGAGCACAGCCTCGTCTCAGTCCGTAAGTCTCAAACATGCTTCATTTATTCATTCTTTGGTCAAATTAGAGTCTTAAATTCCAGACTAACAGCTAACTAGAATAAATATTCTAGTTAGCTGTTAGAATGTCTACAGGCCTCGGTAGCTCATGACCACCAATGCTCCTAGTTAATAATAATAATTGAAAATAGGGGCCACTAAAAATTGTCTTGCGTGCTGGATTTGGCCCACGAGCCTGAGTGTGACATGTCTGATTTGGATAGATACTTTATTGATCCCAATAGGAGAAATTCAGGTGTCCAGCAGTAGAAACACATCCATCCAAACAAACAAATATTACATGCAACAGCACTTTAAGTCACAGCAGCAGAGATGGTGTAGTCAATTTATAAACAGTCTATGTTTAATGTCTGTATATGTATTCATTAAGTTAAATCTATGCAATGAATACCCCCCACCCACCATGCCGGCCACCCCCTACCCCACCAGGCCACCCCCTACCCCACCGGGCCACCCAGTAGTGTCTCTTGTTGTTCTGTTCTCAAGACAGCAATGCTATATATGAATGAACCGATTGATTGAGGCCATCTCTGCCACTGATGTGTGCAGATGGCGTCTCCCCAGTCCTCTGCAGTGAGCTCAGGCAGATCTCCAAACGCCCTCAGCACCTGTGTGAGGACCCATCACTCCGCATCCCTCTCTCCTACTGTAACGCCAAGGCCAGCTCCACCACCAGGAGAAGAGGCCCGGGATCCGTGGGGGAAGGCTCGCAGCTCCAAACACTGCCACGATCGCCGAAATTTAGCCGAACCGAAGGAAGTCATCTGAACGTGGATCCCGCGGCGTCTTCACTCCAGCTCGGCTCAGTGATTCCGTCTCGCATTCCTCAACCCAAGCAGCCCCTAAGTCCACGCCGCTGCCTCACTCGGGAGGTAAAGCCCATGTGGTGTGGGACAATGTGTGCAATAGATTTAAGGAAGAAATATGCATATTATTTTTGGCTATTGAATATGATAATGACTTGCTTCTCAGCAAGAAGGTCTTGGGTTCGAATCCCGGTCAGAACAGGGCCTTTCGGAGTGGAGTTTGCATGTTCTCCCCGTGTCTGCGTAGGTTTCCTCCGGGAGCTTTGGTTTCCCCTACCACTAAAAACATGCACAATAGGTCTGAATGTAAATGAGAGAGTGAATGGATGCTGTTGATTGGGGGCTGATGGTCCAGTGTGTTCGGCAACTCGCTTCTGTCATCACCGTGTGTGGAATGATTGGACTCTGAACATTGTAAAGCGCTTTGGGTGACCTTGGTCTGTAAAATGCGCTATATATAAACATTACTTACTTACTTTCTTACTTACTTACTTAGTCATTTCATGTTTTAGAATGTGAAACAATAGTATCAAGGTGGTAACTTAGGGATTTGCTGCGCCCCCTAAGCTACCACCAGATAGAGGTGTAAAATTGTTTTTTTTTTTTTTTCATAATTTGAAAAATACCAGCTGCAAAAGCAACCATGTGATTTTAGAGAAAAACATATAACCTGAGAAATTGCCAAAGCAAAATTACAATAACAAAATTATCACAAAATGTAGTTTTAGTTTTATCCACGCTGATGATTGCTTAATTTGCTTTTGGGAGAAATCTACTTGTGAACTGCTTTCAAGTGTTTTTGCTCAAGTAATATTTAATCAGTCATGATGTTTAAAAACCTGTATACCATTTTACAGAACAAAATAACAGACACCGCTTTGAAAAGGGGTTTGGATGATATATATATATATTTTTTTTACGCATCAAATTGTATTTTTTAGGTGCCTACGTGAAGCTCTGTAACAATGTATGGGTGTGTATATTTATATTTGGGAGTGTGTGTGTGTGTGTGTGTGCATATATTCCTTGCATTTAAAGTATGAAATAATAATATAACAAATGAAATGTAGATATTCCCAAAAGAATACAAATAATGCATCATATTTATTGTTGGTCATCTTGTCAGGCCTAACCCTATTTTCCTTTTGTCTCCACAGAGCAGCGGCTTCCTTCCATGTGCGGGCCCAGACCCTGGCCTCGACTCCACCTCTGCCTCAGGACACAACAAACCGGGTTAGAGTGTTAACCCAATCTCATGCGGCTGATGGATGCAGACAGAGCATCGGAAATGGAGGAGGAAATCTAATTAGCCATGTCACTTTGTGGTCCACAGCGAGCAGACAGCGGAGTGTGGAGCTTCTGCCGCTGAAGCCGAAGAGGAGCCCTGTGTGTGAGGGGGATGTGTCCTGGCCTGGCTTCTGCTGCTCGGGGTCTGTCGGGTCATTAACGCTGGGGTAACTCACACGCTTGTTTTATCAATATATTGTGAACAAATCATACCATAACATGCTGTAATTATTGTATTAGAAAACGTTTTATATTTTACATTCTGATTGGCTAGTGAGGGAGCTCCTCTCCAGCTGTGCATACAACTGACATTATATTTACTCTTTTTAATGCACTGTGGCTATTTAATATTTTCGTTTTTAATTGTTTTTTTGTATGTATATGTAGATTTTAAGGTTTATGATTGGCTTGATGTGATGTGGGTTGTGAGGCGCTTTGTGTTGCCTTGTGTAGGAAAGGCGCTTTACAAATAAAAAGTGATTGAGTGATCAATTTTTCACTTTTCTGGCTGAAAAAGCTGCTCTAAAGCTGTGACACAGGTCTAAAATACTTGCTTGTGAAAACTAGTGAGAGACAAGAACTTGGATTGTTAGGTACCTGAGTTTTAACACCCTTTTTTTCTGTCTTTCAGAGTCAAAGGGCCAGAGAAGGAGGATGTGGCAGAAAAGCGCCCTCTTGTGGATGAGCAGTGTGCTGTGACAAGTGCGGACTCCGAGAAAGGTAAAGTCCTCTTTCAGAATTGTTTGGTAATGTTTTTGGTAGTTGTGGTGGTAAGTGTCTGTCGTTTCAGCTTAAAGGTACCCTGTGTAGTTTTTACTGTTGCTCCAAATGAAAAAACATGTTCACTAATAACAAATGTGACCACCATGTTTTTGAATTGTTGTCTTAGGCTTAGAAATTGACTCAAAAATTCACCATTTTTAAATACAGTGGTTGATGAGGGACAAAAAGGAGTTTGAGCGGGAGTTGGGGTCCACTGTCAAAGACGGCATATTATCCTGCAAAGCTACCGTAGTACTGTAGATTACAATATATGATCTTAATGCTAGATGGGAGTAAAACGATTGGAACTTTGTAATACAATCCATCTAACTCATTCCTCACTCTCAAGACAGTGTGTGTTCAGAGACCTTCCACAGACTTTATATAACAGTAGTATGTGTTCACGGAGGTGCACCATACGTTTTTTGTATTATTAAACGGTATTTCCGCATCGGCGAACACACTAGAAGCAGTTGCATAAGGTCACGGAAGCATGAAAACCCATATTTTCACAAGCAGAGTCCCCCATTGTCAACCCTGGTTTGAGTTCTGGTGAAGTCTGGTGTGGGTCCTGTTTTGGCTGTTTAAGAGTATTTTCAGTCTGCTCGCTCAGTCCGCTAATGTCCCCGTGACCACTTTGCTGTTCTCTGATTAGTTGCCGCACGAACGTCCCGAGGAAAGGGGGAGCAGAATCCATCTCCTGTGGCCGTTGATTTTTCGCTCCTTCCCTTTCACTTTCCCGCCAAGTCCGTGCGTCTTTACTGAGCGGTCCGTGCGTGTGTGCCGAGAGTTCCGTGAGTTTTGACGCTCAAACGCGCGTCACCATTGACTTTGCATTGAAAGCAGACGCAACGCATGATCCGGTCTGAACGCGGCACTAGCCCTCCATTTTTCTCTCTTATTTGGAAAAAAAAAGTACCATCTGTCCTCCTCTGTCTCACAGAAGAGTCCGTCACCGTGGAAACATGTCGTCAGGTGGTCTGTGAGCTGCAGGACTGTGTGAGGAGGAGCGTCCAGGCCTACAGCACGGTCAGTCTGCCACAGCCTCACACAGGCTTCAGTAGTGTTCAGGACGTGTTCAGGACGCCCATGGTCCTGAACAGACAGGACCATGGGCATCACAGACAGGGCCAAAGACCTGACGCCTCAGACGCTTTCAATTCACTTCATTTATTCTGACTTAGAATCCTCATTGGACTCTAATATATCCATGATTTTACTCCATCCATCCATCCATCCATTTTCTACCCTTTTATCCATTTCTGGGTCAGGGGGGTGGCAGTCAGAGATGCCACCCAAGTCTCATAGCACCAGCCCCTCACTGACCCTCTGCAGGTGGTGAGTCCACAGGAGGACGGCTGCTCTCTGAGTGTGAGCATAGCCTTGATCTTTCAGTTGGGGCGTTGGGCAAAGTGGGGTTAAGTGTCTTGCCCAAGGACACAACGACAGCAGTCATCAGTGGGAGTCAGTGGAGAAGGTGTAGAGGTGGGAATTTTAAATTTTAAATCCTCAGTTTTGTGGATCATTGCTCTAAATCCATCCAAATTTGTTTACTACAAATACACGTCATGGCTTTGCCTCTGTTTGCTGAGTGACCAACTGCACGTCTGGGGTCTCGGAGAAGTCTGTGTTTCTGTGATGCCTCTAGAGGCTGGAGAGTGAAACTGAGAGAAGGCACTAGATGGCTCAAACAGCTGCGTGAAGCCACACCTCCACAAAGCCATCAGTCCTCTCTGATGTGCAATGCAGTGATCCCCTAAAGTGGGTCCCAAGAGAAGATGTTTGCACAGCCCTGCTTTAAATGCACCATTGTGTTATCACTTTGAAATGTGAGCACAATGTCTGGATGTGTGTGGGGGGGGTTTCAATTCAAGTCTTTTCAATTCTTCATTTAAAATTGTAACCTCCTACCAGGCCAGGAAAAACTAATTTAGACCAGTTCCATCCGACATCTTGTCTTTTTGGTTATTTTCCAAAGCTCTTGACCATAGTGAGGGTGAGCAGTACAACCTCTGACTGCAGACACTGCTCCCCCGGCACCACAACAGTGCGATACACTAACATCCTTCCCTCTCTGTGAACACGGACGTGACGTTTTTATGTCACCTTTGTTGAATGTTTTGCATAAAGCAGGTCTTTGCAGGTCGCAGGTGCAGACCCGACAGAGGAGCAGCTGCAGATGAAGAGCCTCTTGTCTGATGCCTTTGCTTCCCTAAAGTGTGAGCTCCACTCCCTCCCTCCTCCAGACCCCCAGGGAGAGGCCCCTCCTGTGGGCAGAGGAGCGGAGGACAAGACTCTGGTCCTGCTGGAGCAATATGCACAACTTCTTCTGCAGTCAGTGGAAAAGAAAATGGATACACAGACTTGAGCTATGACCATTGTAAAGTATTCTGATCAATGAGGACTAACTGTGTGACTTTGACTGACAGCCCTAGGCCAAATCCCAGACGTCTGCGTCACACTCACCATGTGATCCTGGTGTTTATATTACGATTTTAACTTTGTATATCCAGAGATGTCAGACCAGATGACAGACCAGTGCCGCTCCTGATTGGCACATTGTAACTCAGCCGTAGCCTGAAAGAGCTGAAGCTCTTTTAGTGTTGTTATTGTGTTGTCAATGCTTTTTAATGATATTTTGTGTTTTACTGTAATTGAATGAACTGAGACTGAAAAAACGTTATCACTCGTCTCTGGAGTAACTATAAAGATGAAGAACAACGCACAGTCTCTAGATGCACGCTTTATTGTTGAAATCAGAAAATACAAACAACTCACAATTATTACAAAATGCAAGGATCAAAACTTTTGTTAATAAAAATAAGAGAATCTAAATTATACGTATGGTATGGATATATAATATTACACAGCCATAATAGACATTGTTAAAGTAAGTTGAAACATTAGTGTTTTCATTAAAATAAGTGAAGGTAAATAATAGAATTGCACATTTGCAAAACTGCTTAAATAACTCCTTGAGAGCTGATTGGCTGAAGGAGAGTGGTTATAAGACATGTGAAGATTAGAGATCAAATTCAGGAGTCCCACCAGGTTCATTTGGTCTGATTGAGCCTTTTATACAAGTGAAAGAACCAAACAAGATGCTAGTGTCTGTGACACATGAAGCTCCTAAGCACTGATTACAGGTGCAAACCACCTTCTGGGGTTAGGCTTGAAATACTTTGTTTCTGCTTTTCATTTTTGTAATAATACATTACAAATAGTCACTGACAACCTAAAATGATTTCTTATTCCAAGTGAATTTCCTTGCCTCTTTCAAAAACGGACATTTCTGACATTCGCACTTGTCCCATTGGAAAATGTTGTTTTATAAGATTCAAGCTTTTTGTCATTTTTTGCAATGCACTGATGGAGTAAGAGTATAGTTGTCCCACTTTTTTTTATGAAAAGCTGATCTGAAGCTGTAATAGACAAACAATCATGCAAGTTAAAGCTAGGGTACCAAACCAAACTGTTTTCATAAGTAATACATTTTATTAATCCCAACAGATGAATTGTTGTGTACAAATCAGACCACAACACACTCTACATCTTTCTATAAAACAGGAGATCTTTGCATACTTGTAAGACAGAGCCTCGTGAGCCACTATTTGTTGCTTTGGGCTGAGAGCTGATGGACTGAGGGCTGATGGTCTCTTTTTCACTTTTCTGTCTGGATAAGGCTGATTTTTTTAACAAGGCTTTAATAAGGCTTCTTTTTTTACAAAGTTAAATTTTTGTGATTTGAAAATGAGGTACCCCAGCTTAAAAGGAGCCAATGGTTTTAAAAAGCGTGGTCCCGGTGTCTTCAGGGCAGGGTCTCCACATGGACGTAGTTGAGCGTGACGTCGTGCAGGATGTTGATGCGGTCCACCTGGTTCAGCTCTTTGACTCGGTGTTTGAACTCGAACTGGGGGATGTTGTTGACCGCCACCCTGAAGGACTCGTGGGTGCACAGGATCTTCATCTGGAAAACAGGGAGAAGAGCAGATCCATCAGTGCCTCGGGGTCCCACCAGGTCGGCCACGCCCACTTCAACACAAACACAACGGTCACGGTTTCACAGGGCTGAACACGCCCCGTTTTCAAAAATCACAAATTTGACGTAGAGAAATTGCGGCCTTGTGTTTTGAAAGGTATGACCGCTGTTGGAAAGCTGCGTCGACTTGGAACAGTGGGAAAGGTTGCCGTGTTGTTTGGACCAGTCCTGCTTTTCCCCACTTTCAAAATAGGTCTTCTAAAATTACAGCGCAGTGCACCCAGGACACATGGAAATCACAGTACAGGTGAAAGTTATAATATATTGTTCAAAAGTTTATATATTTCTGTAATTCATCTTAAAACTATTATATGTTATAGACTATTTGTGTTGAAAGTGACATGCCAAGTCTTTGTTAGTTAGGCTTGCTGTCCATTTAAATATTTTCTAATTTTCTGAGATGTTTTAATTGGGACTTTTAAAAGCTGTGAGTCAATTATCAACATTATAACAAACAAAGGCTTGTAGAAATAAAGACTTCAATTACTAACGTAAAATGGACTTTTGGGATTCTGGGTTCATCTCTATAGTGGAGTACAACAAGTTTATCCTCTTTGTGGAGAAACATATTTATTATCAAGGGCAACTTTATGAAGGAAAGAGCAGCACGTGCAAAAGGCCAAACTTTAATGTTTAGATCTTCATTCTTGAAACACGGCTCGTTACGCTGCCGTTCTGCAAAGTTTTGTTCCCCGTGTGACTTGAGTGAGGTTTTACTACCTTCTTTAGATAGATAGATACTTTATTAAACCCCCGCAGGAGAAACTCAGGTGTCCAGTAGCAGCAAAATGAAAAATAAAATGGATCATTCTAAAAAGCTTACAATACCTGACCCTCATTAACAGGCTAAAAAATAGTTTGGTTTTGTATCACTCACTGTCGTAACAAACTGATTGCATGTTTTGAGTACATTTGATTTAACTCAGCCCAATATTTCCCAATGAGCCGTAGTTTTGATAAAAGTCCACTTTCTGAGGCTTTGGTGGAGTCATGGTTTCCATTTCTGTGTGGTTTTTTTCGGACAGAGAAGACATTTAACTGTGAACTGCAGCTTTTTTCTCGACAATAGGCCAAATATATTGTAAACATTTGTCCCTGTTGAGCTGGGCCTATACAGGGCTTTGGGTGTGACCCTGTGTCCCTGTGCTGTGTAAAGGGGCAGAGTGCAGGGCAATACAGCAGGACTGCATACAAACGTGCACGGTTTATTTTATGACATTGTTCAGATGAATAAATGAACCAAATACATAACAGTTCGTCATGTATGTCAGTTTGTTATTGTAAAGTTGATAAAAGATAACATTTTAGCCCTGTACTGACCTCAAGTGGTCTAGGAGCATGCCCACACTTCTCTCCAAACTTTTCCACTTTCTCTGCCAAACGTCACATTGTAAACAGAAGCCAGAGTCAGTCCATGTTCATCTTTTTACATTTTTTACATTAAACATGGAGTACCTAACTTTTTTTTTAAGTCTGTCTCTGAAAGTCTCGGAAAACTTTATCAGATCAGAGAATCAAACCGTTCAAAGACGGAAATGCAATAATAATAAACACACACGGGCCATTGATGTCAAAAATCACATCGCACCACCGTGACTTGTTTGTGCGCACAAGAAGAAATTTGTTTCTTTTAGGAACTTGGGGGTTCCATAGTCCAGGGGTACACGGCAGTATGATATAAATGGAGGCAGGTCCTATTCCTTGAAGACATACTAAGTGGAATTGTATATTCTGCACTACAAATTGCACTATAGATGTCCTACAATTGCAGTAATTGAATAAATGCATCACAGGTTCCATAAATTAACAAAAAGGGAAAAAAAAGATATAGAAGATTTTTTAAAACATCTGTAATCAAGAGGAATCTTCCCAAATGTGAGTTTTTCTCTTTTTGTTAGTCCCTTTTGTGTTTTCAAAGAACTTCAGTAATTTCACTATTTGTTATTAGCAAATTGCAACCATAACCATTTAGATTTGAATGGGATCAATCCTGCAGTCCTGGTATAAACTACTGTAGGAGACGTTCCATAAGGAATTGTCAAGGTGAAGTTTAAAAGCCAAAATCACACATACTACTGTTTGTAGGCTCACTACAAACATGTAACTCTGCATCATGTGAGCATCACGCCCTCACCTCAAATGGACTCCCTTTGGCGAATGGGAAGGCCCCCTTCAGGTCGCGCTCCTCGGGGCCCCAGCGCTCGCCCGCTTTATGGTTCCGCACCAGCACCTGGCGCCCGCCCTCGCTGAAGCGCGGGTTAATGTGGAAGGCAATGTCGTTCCCTTTGAGGAAGTTCACCGTGAACCTGGGGAAGACATGACGCTGTAATCATACTTCTCTATCAATCAATCAAAAGGTTTATTTCAAAACCTGCTCAACACAAAAGGGCTGGATGAAAGAAACGCTGATGAATGATGTCGATTGTTTTTATTGACTTGTTCTGTTTCTGTGCTGACTGTGCTGAAACTTTGCATTAAAAAGTGCTTTTACGCCAACAGGGGGTTCAGCCTCTGCTGATAAGTGAAAGATTGGATGAAAAGTGAAACTTGGCTCTAGTCCAGGGGTGGGCTATTATTTTCTCTGGGGGCCACATTAGGATGTTGGTTATTATTGTGGAGGGTCGGACTCGTTTTCCTGTGGTTACCATTTCATTTAATTTGGAATATGTTTGATTGCAAGATACTTCAGTTAAAAATGTAACAGAACTGTGTGTATTTGATAAACAAAAGTGTTTACAGATGAAAAGGAGAAATTATAAAATATCCAATGTTATCTTTGTGTAAAGTGTGTTGGCTCATCTTTTGCATCCTTTTTAGATTTCAATTCTTGTTTGGTTTGAATCAAAGCTGGAATAATGCCAATGAAGCATGAAGGCTAAGTACTGTGAACAGATGAATGTTTTTGATGAATTATAAGGTCTGACATGTCATCGTAGCACTTATGCAATCCTTCATTAGACTGACTCCCATTCATTTAAACAGGAGGAGGCAGTTTACAGTTTGTAGAGTCTGAGGGCCACATAGAAACGTGAATAGGGCCGTATGTCGCTCCGGGGCCTCAATTTGCCCAAGTCTGATCTAGTCTCTACTCTTTCCCTTCATTCATGCTCAGAAGTGTGCACAGTACTCACATTTTAGCGTCGGGTTTGACCTGGCCCACGATGGTCATCATCATTTTGTCATAGACGCCTCTGGAGAGGTTCAGATTGTACGGCACGCTCTGGACAGATTAAAACGGACAGATTAAGATACAAAATATATCTTGTTCCATCCAATCTGTGGAGAAATATGGGCAGGGACCTGTCTGTGTCGATGCAAACCTTTCCCCTCTTGTGTGTGAGCTGAAAGTTAAGGTCTAACCAGCACTACTGTTGTACTGGCAGCTTTTACCTGTTTTCTTTGGTCAAATCCAGTCAGAGCCAAATTTCACTCACGGCCAGAGGACACGTGTAAACTCCGTCCATTCCTAATACAGTCCTTGGTCATAAATAGGTCTGTGCTTGAATATCGGTTTTTAGATAAATATTTAAAAAAAAATGATTAGATACAACATTGATTTCCCTTTAGTAATATTTAGATCTTTCTTTTCCAGAATTTCTTTATCTATGAAATATATGTTTCACCTTTATTTTTTTATATATACTTATTTTATTCAAACAAAAACACACACAGACACAAATTTCATATCGACATACAGTGCCTTTGTGAAAGTGTGTGGACGGCAAAACCTCATCACCCTCACTGCCACCCTTGTAGCAAATATGGGGGTGGCAGCATCATGTTATGGGGCTGATTTTTGTCAGCAGAGACGGGGAAGCGTGTCAGAGTCTTTGGGAAGGTGGATGTCACAAAATACTGTACATTATTTACTGTTTTCACTCTTTTTTTATTTCACATTTTTTATTTTATTTTTTAAAGGGAAAATGTCTTCACTTGACAGCTGTCTGTATTGTATAAAATATAAAAAATAAAATCAACCAACATTTGTGGTTGTAACCAGAGTTCAAGACACTTGTTTTGTCCAGACACTTTTGCAAGGCACTTCCGCAGGTTCAGAAAGATGGAGCTGGGCACGCTACCCTCACTGTCACTCACCAGAGGCCCTGATATGGGCGGCATCCACCCTGGAGGCACGTAGTTTGGGTGCTGCCCAGGCCACCCAGACTGCCCCGGGTGGTACCAGCTGGGACGGGGGGGCCACACAAAGGGTCTCTGCCCCCCTGAGGTGGGGGCAGTGACCGGGGCAGTGACAGGGGCTGGAGACAGCACAGGAGTGGGCACCGCAGACGGCACAGGGGCGGACATGGGGGAGGGGGCAGATGGCGTCCAGCAGCTCTGAGTGGGACATGGCTGACTCTGAGGAGGGGCCACTGCAGGGACCTGGAAATGTGGTCAGAGAAGAAAAGTTTCAACAAGAATTCAAGCAACAGTGAAATGACCGTTTAGTAGAATTCTGCAAATCCTAAACAGTACATAACTTTAAAAAAGATACAATGTTTTATAATAACACATGTATCTTTATCATCTCTAATAAGATAAAGACAACACGTGGGAGGTCATAAAACAATACTTAAAGAAGAAACATAAGTTAGGTACTCCATTTTAATTCAGTTTGTTATATTGTCACTAACTATACAAGGAATGTGCGCTTAATTTCCCTGGTGGATTATCTAGGTTTATCTAGGTTTATCTAAGTCAAATCATGGATATTTTTACTGGCAACACCATCGCTCTAGTGTGGACATGAACATCTCGTGCAGCTCTCTGATTGGTCTTGAGATAACAGCAGCTCTACAGAAGGACAGACTTTATTTTGACATCCGACCATCACAGTTCCATACGTCTCAGCCACATTTGCCGCCCAGTCTTATGTCTTCCTCTTGACCTGCCGCTATGACTGCCCTTCGTCTCAGCAGAGGTCTTGGTGAGGTTCCAGGACATGATATCTGGATCTGCGCCTACACCTCCAGGTCCAAAGATGTTTTACTGTTATTTAATGTTATCTAATTTGCAAAAACTAAAGAGCTGTTGGGTGTTGGCTCTTGTCTTGTTGGTGTATCTAGGCCTATAGAGAGTCTTGACTGATAATTTGTATACAACTATTGCAAAAAGTGTATTTTATTTACCATGGAAGTTTGGGCTGGAACCATCTGTTGAGCCGGTACCATCTGCTGAGCCGGTACCATCTGCTGAGCCGGTACCATCTGCTGAGCCGGAACCATCTGCTGAGACGGTACCATCTGCTGAGCCGGAACCATCTGCTGAGACGGTACCATCTGCTGAGCCGGGACCATCTGCTGAGCCGGTACCATCTGCTGAGCCGGTACCATCTGCTGAGCCGGGACCATCTGCTGAGCCGGTACCATTTGCTGAGCTGGAACCATCTGCGGTGCTTGGACCATCATGGGTGCCTGTGGAGGGGCCTGGGCGGGCATGGACATGGGTACTGACATGGGGACCGACATTGGCATAGCTGCAGGCATCTGTTGTGATGGGACGCTCCAACATGGAGTCGTACCTGGAAAAGAAAAGACAAAACATAGTAAATGTGTATAATATGAGATGATGTTATGAACAAAGCAACTAGATTGTACCATGTAAGATGTAAGATGTGAAATTATAAAACTGTCACTTCCTTATTCTAACCATCTCCCATATGATTTCTGGCTTTCTCCAAAATTAATTTCTAGTGGCTTTTTTTTCAACACTGGCTATATACCACTATTTGCCACACAGGCCATATTTGTGGAGATGAATATTTGCCCCACGTTCAGATTGCTACATCCCAGCTGCAGATGTTCACAGCTTCTCCAGAGTCATCCTGGGCATGGTTGAATTTCTGATCAGTGCTCTTCTTGTTTGGGTTTAGGACAATATTGCCGTGTGTTGGTAAGTTTGCAGTGATGGCATACTCTGTGCTCTGTGATACCCACGCTGCTTCTAACTTCTCCAATTTCCTAACATATATTATAGTAAAAAATATGCTAATAGGAATACCCGTGAATGTTCTGTAACCCCCACTCAGGGAAACTGATGCAGTTTTTCCTGCCTTACATTTGCTACAGAAACACAAAGCAATGGTGTATTATCATGTGTTTTTGGATTTTTTTCCTCTCTGTACCTGGCTGTCCGGTCCAGCAGGGGGCCTGGGATGAGGCCGGAGCTGTCTGCGTGAGCTGGGGGGACGTCCCGGGCCAGGAGGGGAAGGACGAGCCCGTAGCCTGCACCGGCCACATGACACTGGGCTGAGGCACCGAGCCGGCGGACACGCACCCCCCACACAGAGGGTCCAGGGGGTCCGGGCTCTGGGGGGGAGAGGGAGGAGGTGAGGGAGGGGGGGTGGAGTTCAGGATGGAGTAGTGTGGGAGGGACAGCGTGGAGAGGACAGAGGACACCAGCTTGACGTGACAAAAGCAGAACATGAACAAATCAACACAATGAGGAGCGACTCTTACCATTTGAGCGACCATGTTTGGAGAGGCACTACTTACATCCATCCTGCCTAAAAGAACACAAAATATATACATGGGCAGAGTATACATGGAAATCACAAATATCATTGAAGCTGGAAGTCATAAGCTGTTATAAAATTCATCCGCTTCTACCACTACTTTTCACACGCAAGCATTTTTTTAACCTCTATCACATTATTAGATCAGCTTTTTCAGATACAGTGAGAAAGACAGGGCTTCCCTCACTCAGTCCATATCAGCTCTCAGCCCAAAGTGGAAAAAAGTTACTTAAAAGTACGCTAAAGATCAAGACAGCATGTTATGGTCTGACATTTGACTTTTACCAGAACCATTCTAACACAACAAAACAGGTTCCCCAGCTTTAAGTATGTTATAGCTCCTGTATGTACATATATAGCTACATCTTTTTCACTTTGATAGTTTTTATTGTATAAAAAAGTATTTAGTCAAAATTGTGAGAAGGCTGTGCATCTCCTGTTTGTTTAAAACGTACTTACTTACTTACTAAAGATTACTTACTCTTTGTTTGTATAATTTAAATGTTTTATATCCATTGGATCTTGCAGGTGACTTCCCGTGTCGTGATGTGTCTTGATCTTACACACATTTTATTGTACTTTGCCAAAAATTTACAAAACTGTATAATTTCTTCACTATTGTGTGATTTTGATGTAATTCTGTCCCTAGTTGCTTTACAGTCCCAGGTGGTCTACAAACAGAAGCCAGACACCCAAAAACGATTTCATAATGTAAACTGAAAACAGCATAGTGACTATTTAATTTACACATGAGCTGAAGTTCTCGTCATCCACCAGCAGAGGTCACTAAAGCCCATATGTTTTCCCAGACAGACCAGTGGCTGTTCCACACATGCCTTTATAACCGAGTTTGGATGAGCTAAGTGACTAAAGTGTTCATTTGCAGCTGCAATGTGCCGATAGCTCCCACTATTGTCCACATGAAGTGATGAAGAATGTGAATACAGAGCCATTCATGGATTATGCTGCATTTTTAGGACTTCTCTCCATTGGCGATCTCCATGGTCAGACACTCAGGGAGAGGCTTTTCATTTCAGACAGACTAAAACAGGGCTGTCAAACTCTTTTCTGTCAGGGCAAATTCAAAGCATAAGAGCTGGTTGGGGCCAGAAGAATAAAAGTGGTATAAAGAATTTATACCACTTTATTGAAAAGTATTTTATTTTATTGATTTTAAATTCACAGGGTTTTGATTCAACCACAACTGGGCCAAATATCAATAAGAGATGTATTGGAAGACTGCTAGTTAAAACAAGATTAAAATTAAGAGATCCTTTATTTGTCCCACAGTGGGGAAATTTCAGTGTTGCATCACAAGTTATAGGACTGTAGGAAAGAGCACACAGCACAAGATAAGTGAACAATAGCTATACTAATTAAAATAAAACAAATAAAAAAACAAGTGTAAATCTCTATCTTGAAAATAATAAAAGAGGTGCAAAAGTTTAACATTTGGCAACAAAAAAAAAGACAAAACTATACTATAACTTCTAAGTACATGTTAGTTCACAATATAGAACAGATGCAATTATATAGTTGTTTTCCAGAGACAATAGGCTTTAAAATAATGTAGTGTATGCCATAGCAGCCCCTCACCATCGATGCTGCAAGTTACGATAAAGATAATTGAAAATCTTTCCAAGGGCCACAAACATTTGGCTTGCGGGCTGGATTTGGCCCACGGGCCTGAGTTTGGCATGCCTGAACTAACAGAGAAATTATACGTGTTTTTAAAGCTGGAGAACTTCAAATATTTTCCATGAATACCACATTTGGTTTGTCCCAACAGAAAAACATCTTGTATCATTTTGTGAGCAAATCAGATCACTACAATTCTGTTTTCAACCCATAAGAACCCATGGTATATTTTGCTTACTTGCCTTTTGACGCTTTGGGCTGAGAGCTGATTGGCTGAGGGAGCATGGTACACTCTTTTTAACCTTTTCTGTTTGTCACATCTTTAGATCAGAGGCCAAAAATAAAGTTACAAGTATCTATCTATCTTTCTATCTACAAGTTAGGCTGGTTACTAGTTTTGTGGTTTTGACGCTAAGGTGCCCCAGCATTAAGGTAGTTTGAAAGGCACTCCAACCTTACTGAACCATTTTATTGTAACTTGTCCCAGTTCGTAGGTTTAGTACGTTGAAACTTTCACATCAATAAAAGTTTTGAACTCCAACAGCTTTAGATGAGCTATTTCAGAGTGAAAAGTGAAGTAGATCACCCTCCTCACTCAGCCAATCAGCTCTCAGCCCAAAGCACCTCTCACAGGGCCTTTGAATCCAAGTTCGCACAAGATTAAAACATGTATTATTTGTTAAACAATAATGTTCAGTACCCAGCTTTAACACTAAGACTCCCAGAATTATGAAACTCAGAGAACTCCCAGAACAGTCAATTTGACGGCTCTCATTCAATTTAATGGTATTCTTCAGTTTTAGGTTTTCACTGCTATTAAAATGAAGAAATTTGATCTTTATCTTTAATACATGCTAAAACTGGTTGATATTAATGAAATATAGCAAAACAAGTAAACAGTGTGTTGCTATGGTAACTAGCACTCGCTCAAAGTTGAGATGGCTCTGCACCAGTCTATAGGATTAAGATAATTCCATAAACATAATAACATAGAAAGAAACTACATTTAGAAACAGAAAAAATCACAAAGTTATGAAAACCAAAAACATACATATGCGGAGTAATTGCCCTTCCAAAACGAAAAGCCGTCAAATTGACTGCTCTGGGCGTTGTAGTGTTAAAAAACATATAATTCCAGATGGGAAAAAGTGTTGAAAAAGTCTAACCTGAAGGTGAGTCTGCAGGCGTCCCGGGACAGTCCAGTTGGATCAGCGGGACGTGAATGAACCCAGCTCTTATAACGTGGACCCACCCCCCTCCTCACTCTCACCCGCCCCCCTCCTCACCCTCACCCTCACCCACCCGCTTCCTCACCCACCACTCCATTTTCTGGTAATGTCCTCACATGATGTCTCTGCTAACAACAGCACTAAGTCATGGCTAATGGATGTCTGGGATACCTCTGTTTGTGTGTGTGTGTGTGTGTGTGTGTGTGTATGTTTTCGTGTGTGTGTGTGTGTGTGTGTGTGTGTGTGTGTGTGTAGGGCAGCAGCAAGATCATCCACTCATCACAAGATTGTTGAAAATACTCAAACATTTGACTTTATTGATCCACATGGGAAATTACACCCAGCCATAGGTTTCAGTGTTGTAGCCATATATTGGAGTCCATTAATAACAAGACAAACGTTTTTTCTCCCCGCATTGTGAGGGGTTGTGTGAAGCCGCACAGATGTTTACAGATGTGGCGGCAATCAGAGCTGTCACCCAAATCACAATGCACCATCCTCCTTCACCAAAGATACGGACTTGGGGTTCCATCGGTGGGGTTAAGTGTCTTGCCCAGGGACACAACAACAGCTGACTTCAGTGGGAGCAGATGTGATGGGTCGTGGGGGGATCAAACCCATGACCATTAGGTCCAAAGACCAACTGGAGAATTAGTTTAAACCTTCGCTTTGTGTTCTTTTGTTTGTCTTAACCCTTTAATGTTCACTCCTTGAAGAAAACAATGTATTTGTTTTTCTTTTTTGGAATGTCTAAGAACGAGGACACGAAGAACACAAAAAATGTATGTTTTATTTTTATACTTTTTTGGACCCTTATTTTTAGGCCTTTACCAAACGGTTGTGATGCTGTTGAGGAAACATTAGGACCATAAATCTCCAATTCGCATCGCCAGGGAAACCGCAAAATACAAATATTTATTTGCAAAAGTGTTGGACAATAGCAGTGAGTGTGATTCTTATTAGATTTAGCGTCATCGGGTTGAAAAATGTCTAAGCTCAACAAAAAAATGCACTACGTAATTTTCCTATTATTGATAGGTCCTTGATATTTTTAAAGAAGTAACAGACTGTGTTGTGCTCTTTCAGTAAAATATGTATACCAGATGAGTCTGGTGTGTGTGTGAATGGTTGGTGGTGGTCAGAGGGGCCGATGGCACATACTGGTTGCTTCTATCAGCAGCAGCTGTGGCTACAAGTACAGTAGTTTATCACCACCGTGTACGTTGTGAATGAATAATAACATGTGAAGCGTCTTTGAGGACGGGACAGGTTACATGTCTGTACTAGAAGTTCCTGATATGGATATAAAAACAATTCCGGGTTTGTTTTTGATGAGAAACAATATTGTAACACAGAGAATGAGCAAAAATAAAGGTTGATTTTGTGTAATACGTCTCATTTAAAAAGACTGTGTGGTGATTTGTAGATTGGGCTCATTCAAAGACCAGCTTCAGTTACATGAAGAAGCCTCTCGTATGCAGCTCTAATCTGCTGCGTTGTGTTTGTGCTATAATAATGATGTCACATAGTAGTAGCAGCTCTCCCTGTTGCAGCGTGGACCAATGGGAGCGCAGATCTGGTGTCAGGCAGAAGACAGCAGCGTGGAGCTTTTTCCTTCTGATCAGCTTTGGGCACGTTTACTATTCCTCCTCCCACAGAGATCTGCACCGTTTGTACAGCACACAAAAAAACATGTCTGAAAGCTGAACGAGTGCACTGCTGCTGCTTTTATGTACTGACCTTTTCTCGCTAAGACGCCTCCAACAATCAGGCAAATTTCAAACTCTTTCTGTCGCAGCACAAACAAATGGCTGGGCTTATTGTGATGCTGAGGCCCTGCAGGTTTTTTCTCTGATGACTTGTTTACTTTATTTTTAAATGGGGAGAATCACGTCAGAATCAGGGCGAGAGTAGCTCAGTTGGTAGAGCACTGGCCTTTAGGCCTGAAGGTCGTGGGTTCGATCCCACCATAAGACCTACTTCACGACTCCCACTGATGACTGCTGTTGTTGTGTCCTTGGGCAAGACACTTAACCCCACTTTGACTGAAGCCCCTGCTGAAAGATCTCAGCTCCTGTGGACTCACCACCTGCAGGAGGATCAGTGAGGGGCTGGTGCTCTGTGAACTGGATGCAGCTCTGACTGCCACCCCCCCCGACCCAGAAATGGATTAAGGGGAAGAAAATGGATGGATGGAGAATCACCACAAGAGATAGACCAAACTCACAATGATAAATTTAAACTCTTCTCGAGCTGGTGTCTGGGGATAGGATCTATTTGAGAGTTGCATGACAATTTTGAATTTTCGCTGGAAAATATATTTAGGAACCTGTAACATGCATGTTTTTGCTGGTGGGCAAAAATCGGCGCACCCGGAGCAAACCAACCAATGCACATGGACTCCACACACCTTACAATGGCCTTTATGACATATTTTTGACTGGAAAAAAAAGTAAGTTGAAAATACATAAGGATAAACACATAAACACATAAGATAGAAATGACAAGAATGTGCAACATTGACATCTAGTGGAAGAATAGGGAAATTACAGTTTCAAATATAAAAAGGCCTTTTCACACTGACATATGCAAGGGATTTTTTACATATAAAGAGAGCAATAGGTATAGGTACTCATTTAAACCTATGTTACTTATAAATATACTTATAAATAAAATGGTAGCCTTGATGTGCTTTTTTTTACAGAATCCCAAAACATCCTTTCATTTGCAAGATTTTGTATTTTAGGGCAATAGTTATTTTTATACAAGCTATATTTCACAGAAAGCAGTCAGCGAAAAGACAAGGACACAAAGCACGTTAAATGTGGAGTCGTTCTGACACACCAGCCCGTGTCTCTGCAGTGTGTGTGTGTTTTTACTTTACTTTGAGGTGGAAAGAAAGAAAAAATAGATACTAAATGTGTAGCTTATGATTAATTCAATTAGGACAGATACATGTAATGTTACAATGGAGCCTATTTCAGAAAACAATAATTCATGAAAGCATATTTAGTCAGTGATGCCGACTGAATTAAATAGCAATGATGAGCTAAAAACACAAGAGTGTAATCATATTTCCGCAGTTGCCATGAGTACTCTGCAGACAGTAACGTGTGAGTGTGTGTGTGTGTGTGTGTGTGTGTGTTAAACTAGAAAGGTGTGTGATTGTGTGGTTAACATAAGTTTTGTGTTTGGAAGAGTCAAAGGTCACAATGGTGATGTCAATTTTGTCATTCATAGTAAACGCACGTGGTTCCACAAGCGACCACAAGAGGGAGATGTCAAGTGCAGAGTCAAGTACATCCTTTTTCATGTCCTATTAGAAACAGGAAAGTATATTAAAGCTGGGGTACCTAACTTCCAAATTATAAACAACATAGCCACTGGAAATCCACTTTACTACTTCCTCGCTCTCAAATCAAAATAGTTTGGTTCTTTCATGAGCTTTCATGTGGATCTTTTTAATCAGCTTTTTAATTAAGACAGAGAAGTGAAAAAGGGAGGACCACACTCACTCTGCCAAAATGTCAAAGGTGCACAAATAAAACTGTCTTTTTAATCAGATCGTTACAAGTTATAGTTCTTTAGTTTAAACAATACGCAATTTATATATATATAAAAAAAGAGCAACATCTCAATAGTTGCATTCATGTCGTGGAATAAAATTGGACAGTAGGAGCCAAAAGAAAGAGACAGAAAGAGCCAAAAGAAAAAGAAAATATGTTTTCCTAGATCCTTATTTGACAGTGATCAGATTCACAGACCTGCCATTCTACATACTGGCACAAGGGTTTTCATATACACTTTTAAAAACCCTTGACCCTTGACCCTCCATAGTCATTGGACCAGGGACCTTCTCACTTATTTGTTAATTAATATATTTATTTTTTTGAGAGTTTTAGTCCTCCATAGTCAGTGGCCAACTGAATACTATAGCTGTAATAGATTTGCTATGGACGGGAATAGATATATTGTGTGGAAGCTTTATGCCTATAGTGTCTGCTGTCCGCACATGCATCTGCTTTCTTGTATTGTGGACACATATCTGGCTTCTCACTGCTCACAGAGGAATGCAGTTTCTGTCCACAGCTGCTCTCCACCTGACAGCTTTTATCAAGGTGCCTGAGACTCAAACAGCACAGACAAAAGACCCCGGTGCATAAGGGAAACACATAAGAGATTATTTATAGACCATTTTTGGTTGCACATGACCAGACACATCAAAGTCCACCTGATGGGAGTCCACACATCCATACACTGAAAACATGGTCCAGATGACTACGTTTTGAAACTTGACTTGTAAATATATTGTTTGTATTCCTCAATCCCATCAATACTGAATTATTTGACAAAGACGGACTGACAACAGAGTGATATCCCAGACCTGTGTTATTTAAAGATGGGTTACCAAACTTTTTTCTCATAAATATTATTATTTTTCATCCAAATTGAAAGACATTTGTAAAGCAAAAGTTATGTTTCGATAAATAATACTAAACCCTAGAACTGAATTTCAATACGAATGAATAGACTTGATGCTCAATACTAGTATAATTTGAATATCTAGTGCTTTGCGTTTGAAACTGCTTTTATATGAGATGCCATTGAATAAAATCTATACCAATGCTGTGCTGGTCTTTCAAACCATAATAATAGTATGAAGTATGTAAAATATATGTAAGGTTCCTCTTTCTCTGCAAAAAGGTTCAATCCATATAGTTTTCACATCTCAGTCACATCTTTAGATTATAGCTTTTTCAGACATACAAGTGAAAAAGAGAAGGTGGTTGGTGGTGGTCGGAGAGGCCGATGGCACATACTGGTTGCCTCGCTTCTGTCAGTGTGCCCCAGGGCAGCTGTGGCTACAGTAGTAGTTTATCACCACCGTGTGTGGAATGAATAAATAATGGCACGTAAAGCGTCTTTGAGTGTCCAAAAAAAGCACTATATAAAACTGATTCATTATTGTTTTTATTATTAAAACCCGCTCTCATTCCTCTCATTATCTGCCTGTCATGTCTTAAAACTCTTCTTCAAACATGACAACAAAGGATTTTGAACAAAGAATTTTACTTCCAGAACCAGATCTTCCAGAGT